TCATTCAAACATATTTGGGTCATTTTCCACTATCCTTGTGTCTGAGATGTTGAATGCATGAAAATACTTGTTGCATTGTCTTATCCATGTTTAAGATTTGCTCATCAAAAATAGGAATTTAATCTTTGAGACAAGGTTACTGGTTTAGTTACCCATCTGATTTGAACTACCAACTCCAATTTCCTTAGTTCTCGGATTCGGTAATATTTTTCTATCAATATTTAAATTAGAGGCAGAGGGACTTACTTGAGTGATTGTTTCACCAATCTGCATGTTGTTTTAGAAGATTTGGTGAGTTTTTAAAATTATTGGCCGAATATAGTCAGTCGTTGGTCCATTATGGCTCGAGTTTGCTATTGTGATTCATACATTTTAAATCTAAACTCCAAAAAATTTCACATATAATTTCCTCCAAAATTTATATCTTCTGCAGTTCAGACGTCGTAGCTTTGTCCTTATTTTTTATTGTGGTTATGAAGCTTACAAGAGTTTCATTAGAATCGAACTGCTCTGATACTAAGTTGTCAAGACTTTTCTCGGACATGTGATTCACCAAAATTAAAATTTGGAATTAAATATTTTCACATATATTTTCCTCCAAATTTTGTATCTTCTGCAATTCAGACGTCATAGATTCACCAAAATCAAAATTTGAAAAAAATATGGAGTTTAAAATTTTCACATATATTTTCCTCTAAATTTTGTATCTTCTGTGGTTCAGACGTCGTAGTTTTGCTCTTATTTTTTTATTGTGGTTATAAAGCTTGCAAGAGTTTCGTCAGAATCGAGCTGCTCTGATACGAAGTTGTCAAGACTTGCTTTGGACATGTGATTCACCGGAATCAGAATTTGAAAAAAATATGATCGCATAACCTACAAGTTCCAAGATTAGAATATGACTATAATACTGCAAAGAAGTAATATTTAAAAAATTTTGGTTATGTTTCTCATTTTAACTACTTAAAGTTTGTATAGATTTGTGTCAATATTCAACTAAAATGCAAAACTATTTAGATTAGATTTTATATACGAGTATCACCAAGATAACACTATCTTGATTATAAGCCTAAGATATGTCAATGAAGACTTTAAACGAGAGAAGTCTTAATGCGTTGATGAGACAAGATAGGCGTGAACTCTTTATATTGATGTCGATTCCATTTTGGATGTACAACTTGTTCATAAAACTTTGTCTAGCAAACTTAAAGTCTTGTGTTCATAGTAAAATTCTTATTTGTATATATGCATTTTGATTAAAAAAAAATAGTAAACAAAATTTGTGCAAGAAATTGCATTATTTAATGCTTCAATTCTTGAGATCCTTTAAGAAAAACCACTTCAATCATCTTCATGAAATACATCACTAATTATGGCATGTTGTTCACACCCTCATCTACAATTTTAAGGGGGTACTTAATAGTTCTTAACAAGAGCGGGACCGAATTAGGAAATATATTTGAACAGAAACCATATTAATCATATTTCAATTTAGATCAGGTTGGGTTACGATGATCTCCAACCTGATCTAGTTCAATACAAACTAAATTAGATAAATTATCATGTTTAATTAAAAATAAGCTTTAAGACCAATAAAAATCCAAACAACATAAATTGATAAGTTTTAATAATTCATCAAATTAATAAAATAAAAGATAATTTATTAAATATCAATAATTAAGATTTCATTTTTTCAATCTGGGGATTAAATGGGACCGAACTGGACCAAAATTTTAATCCTTTACCTATGGACCAAAAATTGAATAGAATATAGTTTTAGTCAATTTTCCACACTATAATTTGGTCAATCCATATTTGGTCCAGTTGAATTCGAATTTTCAGTCCTAATTATAATTTAATCACTCTTATACAGTAAGTTTACTCATGCATGAGGAAGATGTTTTAACAGGTTTAACACAATAGTTATAATGTATTGCTATAAAATAATATTCACATTTACTCGAAATTTATGTTTAAAATATAAAAAAAATTATTTTTACTAAAATATAAAAATTTTGTTTTTTTATTTTAAGTGACAACAATTTTTTCATGTATTTTTTTAATAAAAACAAATTTTTTTTTTTTACTAAAAGTTATTTTAATTAAAAGATATTTTAATAATAATTTTAAAATTCAGAACACAAGTTTACTTGCCTGAGATATCCATTAATCCCCTACCTTACTTTCTATTGTTGAATTATATTATTTTATTTAACCTTTGTTTTCTTTAGGTATATTTTAATCATTAAAGTAACTTTAATGTTCAAATATAAGCTATTTTTAATATTAAAATAAATTAATTTTCTTTTTGTGATTATACGGGGATAAAAGTAATATAATTACATATTATAAAAATGAAAATAAGAATAGTGTAATTTATTCGAATAAAGACAAATTAGTGGATGAATATGTAAATAAATCATATTGATAATCTGATTCTCTCAAAATCAAACCGTCTGAATCGGATTTCTTTCTCTGTATTTTAGCCTTTTCTTCTTCCTTCGTAATTCTTTTCTTTGACCATTCCCTCTCTCCCTCTCTCTCTCCACTTTCCTAGTCTTGAGAGTTGAGGCGTTCCTTTCTTCATCTGCTTCATATCCTTTACCTTTTTCATTCTTCGTTTCCCACAGAAGAAGTACCTTGCTTTCTCTTCTCTTTTATCTTCATTGACTATCGTTGTTCTTACTTATTCTTTTGATTTAGAATGGCGAGTTTCGAGTATTCCTCTGCTTGCGCTTTGCCCGAGAACCCGATCGATTCAGTTGGTTCTTCTTCTGGAGCTGTTGGCGATGAATCCGATGAGGATTGCAGTATCTGTCTCGAGCCTTTCACCACTCAAGACCCTGCAACTGTATGATCTTCACTCCTACTGTCTCTTAAATTTGGCTTCTTATTTTGTCCTTTTGCCTGATTTTTTATGGTCTTGGTAATCTGACTAACTAGATGCATTTCTAGTCATAATCTTTTTTGTATTCGTGTTCTTTGTTTTTTTAAACTGAAGAATATATGCTGTTAGATTAGTGTTTCTGCGAGCACCGTTCACTGACTTTTGCTGATTGAAATGCCTTTGATTGTTTCTCTCCTGTTTCTGGTGGAAATAATATAGGTCACTGCCGAAATTGTTCATGTTTATTTTCTAATGTGGGAGTTAATTAGGATTTGCTATGAGATGAGTTCTTATGATCTTCAGTAACTTTCACTACTGTTTTCTCGCTGGATGATTGCATTTATAGGCTTGTAAAAAACGAATGTCGATTTTCTCTTTACTCACGCTGTTTGTTTAGTCAAATTCAGGTTCAATACGTTGCCTTTTCTTCGTTGATAGCTTATAAAAATGGTCTATTTAGTTCTTACTTTAAGAGTTCAACTCTCTAATTGCTACCGATAAATTTGCTAAAAATAGCAAAACTAGCTTTCAGAGGTCAGTTCATAGCAAGCTGATTTGTAATTTATTTTTTTGTCAACGTGTGCACATTTTGGCTAACAAATTGGATTTCTGAGCATTTTTCTGGCATATAAACTAGTATTAAGAATGATTTCTGATGATTACGATTACTTTCACTTTTCTGCTTGTGTGAAAAGATAGTTTAGATAGTTTTCTTCTTGCCTATGTCTTGGTTCAATTCTTATGATTTCTAATTATTTTACAGCTCCATATTTGGTTGGTCTAATTCTGTCCTGAGCATCAACTTTTTGGATTCTGTTGTTTCAGGTCACCAGTTGCAAGCATGAATACCATCTTCAATGCATTCTTGAATGGTATCTCATTCATAGCTTTTATGTATATTTAAATCCTTTGCCCTTTCAGCTGGAAATTCTGTTTTTTCTATATGTTAATTCTTTACCGTGATTGGATTTGTTTCTTGTTTAGGTGTGAAAGAAGCAAAGAGTGCCCAATATGTTGGCAGTTACTTTCACTGAAAGACCCTGCCAGGTATACAACCTTAATAAGATCTCTCTCTCTATCTCTATCTCTATCTCTCTCTATCTCTCTCTGCCTCTCTCCCTCTTGACACCCTATTCACTAAGATTTTGATTGTTCTGAATCATGGTTGTGTTCCTCTCGTATATACCTGATAAAATTGGAATCATACAAGGAATCAGGATTATCAGTTGATCTAACAGAGTTGTGTGTAATGAGCATGCGTCTTGTTGTTCTTATTCTTAATTATAAATAATTATTTTGTAGCCAAGAACTGCTAGCTGCAATGGAGAATAAAAGAAAATCCAGGTTCAGGGAAATATCCATGCCTCTGCCTAGAACTGTTTATCATTACCATGATGATCTCAATGTTGAAGAGGTGATTTGGTTGGTTCAAACCTGGCTGTTTATCTTTAATTTTTTATTTGCTGAAACAGTTGTGCTAGCAATGCTGATCTTCTGTAAATAAGAGTCTCAATGATATTTTTTTCAGGATGGTTCTCTGTCCGATGACTCAGATTTTGATGAACGTATCATGCGACAACTTGCTGCTGCTGCAAGCAGAGCTCAATTTGTTCAGAGAAGGGGAAGGCAGAGATCTTCAGGACTTGGTTCTTCCGAAGTTCTAATGTCCTCTTCTCCTGCAAATATGCAGGAGTATGCATCTTCAACAGAGCAACATCAAAACATAAGTTATGGCCTAACTGAGGAAAATTCACTAACTCCAGGCATACCATCGCAAGTCTCCTCTGATTACTTGTTTTCTATTACTTCTGCCAAACCCAGGTACTTGTACAGATATAGAAAATCCAAAGGCTTCAGTCTGCCAACTTTCATGGCAAGCCTATTCCAATTATATATATTTGTATTTGATTTTCTAATCGATTTATTTTGGTATTTGCAATTTCAGTATTTTTGATAAGAATAAAAGAATGATTCAGTATTTGAAACTTAATGCCTACAAATAATTTCAAAAAACTGGATGGAGCAAGCAAAACCATTCTAGTACTGGCATTTTCAACATGCACACACATACAGTTGAGGAACCATTTTCAACATATTTTATAAGTCTTCATGACTTTAGAATTAAAGTTGATAGACATATTTTCATATCCTCTATCGTGGATTGGAGGTCAGTTATTATATTGCATAGATTATATATAGAGTTGGTAGCTTGTATGCACCTGTTTGCAGCATGTATTGTGTTTTCTTGATCTTTTTTTATCTTATTCTTGTTTGATTGTTTTTTAGGAGCCTCTTTAAGCAGCCAAAGCCTGATTCTCCACGAGGATCATACACATCTGTGATGCCCTCCTTCTCGGAGTCCATAAAATCAAGATGGTCTGCTGCTTCAGCAAGGTATGAGTTGTCATCTTTCCTTGAAACTTCTTAGTACTTGTTTCAACTAGAACTTATGGCATGACTGGTGCTTGCCAACAGATACAAAGAATCTATATCAAGAAATACCCATGGTCTAAAGGAGAAGGTACTTGCATGTAATAAGGAGTTAAAAGAGCTGAGCAAAGGAGTGCAGCGTGAAATGGGTGCTGGAATTGCTGGTGTTGCTCGAATGATTGAGCGCCTGGATCTTTCAGCAAGACGACCAGGAGTCTCTGTAAATTCTTCAGGTTTTGCTGACGAGATACAATTTAAAGGAAAGAGTGTGGAAAAGAATGTTATTTCCCAAGACAGTCGAGGAGGTGCACCTGGTTTTAGTTCTGAATCGCGTCCATTCTCCAGCAATACCCCAGGCCAAGTTAGCATTTCTCATGCACAGGTTTAAATTTCACTCTACTAAATAATTAAGTTTCCCAATGCCGCCAACATGGCAAAGAAACATGTATATGGCTTTAGTGTCCAAAATTTTTTAGAAACCATATTTCCATCTAGTGAGTTTAGGAAAAAAGATAAGTCTTTCTGAAAAACCCATGATAGGGGCATTTTAGCTTACATGAACGAGTTTGAAGCTTGACATCAAAGCTTTTATTATTTTCTGGAAGGAGATATAGATGCTGAGTTACCATTATTTGGTGTTTCTTTTCAGGATGATTGATATGACGGATGGTGTTGAGTCTGCTTAACTGCAATATGTGATTTACTTCTGGAACTGAGGGCACATAATGCAAGTGATGTTAAGTGAAAACCAACTTGCCTGTTGGTTTGCGTCCTGCATTTCCTGTTTGCAAAAATACTTGCAGAAAGTGGAAAACTTTAGTTGGATGATGAGTTTATTTCGGTATGAGTACAAACAAGGATGAACAAAGATGTCTTGAGGATTCATTTTTCTCTTTTCGTCTTCTTATTATTTAATCTAGTACAACTTAACTGAAGGTTAACTGCCCGCCATTATTAACTTGTATTTGGTCTAATTTTTTGTTTCTATGCCATCTTCAGTTTCAAGGGTGTTATGCCTGTCTCACAGGGTAGGTATTTAGTGGGGATTTATTGGAGATTTTGGTGAATTCTACCATGTCTGATATGGCGAACCCTGTTCCAACTTGCAAGTAATTACTAAAATTGCATTCATCCTACAGAAATACAAAGGATTCGGTAATGCTAGTGTAAGCCCTGAATTTTATATGATATTTTATACAGAAGATACATAAATAGGGGCATACGTGAGTTTATTCAGGAGATCACCATGATTCATATTTAATTTCTTATATGCATAAGAGTCCTATTACATTCATATTAATTCTTATCCATTCTCAGGCATAATCTCATATTCTCTGCCCAATCCACTCCATGGCCATGATTAGTAGACTCTGCCAGGTACTAGCATATATTATAGTGAGGATCAAGCATTAACCACCATGCCACCTGCGGTGTGACGAGCAGAATCTATTAGAAAGTGTGGGAAAATTAGTATAGGAAAAATTAGGCGAATTATACTACTGAGAATTCTAAGTAAAACTAAACCGTTGGGATGGAGAACTTGGCCACTGATGTAGGAAGAGCAGTCAGGCGATGCCAAAAACACATAAGGTGCAATCTCCCAAGGCTGAGCTGCTCTACCCATGGGTGTTTCCGAGCCAAAACTTGAAATCATTTCCTCCAAGAGCAATGCTGGTTGCAGTGGAGTCCACACTGGTCCTGGAGACACCACATTGATGCGAATTCCTTTAGATGCTTGATTGAGAGCAAGGGACCTGGTGAAAGCCACAATGACTCCCCTTGTGGCGCTGTAGTCCAATAACATCAGGCTGCCTGTGTAGGCATTAACTGATGTGGAGTTGATGATGCTACTCCCTTCTTTCATATGCTTCAAAGCATGCCTGCACCCATAAAAGAAATTCAGAATAGGAGATTAGAACAAAGTAATTATGCAGCATAACATAATTAACTATTTGAGTTTAGTTTTTTGCAACTGTTTTGAAGTTTAAATTCAACTCAAAAGCAGAATCAGGGTTTTACCTGCACATGAAGAAGCAAGAGAATATATTGGTTCTTAACGCCCTCTCGACTCTCAGTTCAGATATGTCTTCAACACTTTCTGCCATGTGCTGCTCTGCGGCATTGCTCACCAATATCAATTCGGCCATATTCTTGCACCGCTTGATCCACCATTCACCTGCAGTTCTCCTCGAATCCAACATCAGCGGTTATGGCGATTGGGTTTTTTGCATCGCTTGTTTTTGCTCCCATTATCATATTGAGTGTATCATCTTTGTCTTTCTCTCTTTTCCTTTACCTACGTGAAAGCCACAGTTGCACCTTCCTGAGCAAAGCAGTAGCATACAGCTCTTCCAATCCCTTAATCTCCGCCGGTTACTAGAGCTACTTTGCCCTGCAAATGAGGTCCCAGTTGTTGGTTTTGAATTTAGAAAACAAATAAATAGGTTTAATTTCAAGTAGTATCATAAATATATATTTACGTATACATGCATGCATGGATATGATCATCGTGAAAAATTTACACGGAGCTTGTTGGAGGGGTTGTAGTGAGGATTTACGGCTTGTGGAATGGGTCTCATAACATTTTCTTGCCCGGTTGACTGTGTTGTCTTTATCGTGGAAACTTTTCTTCAATATTTTCCATTGTTCTACGAGAAAAGAGAAGGTAAATTAAACAAAGTGAAGAGAGAACACGTGCAAATACAGAGAAGCATATCTCGTTACGTTTGATGAGTTTTGCCCAGAGTGTGAATTCCAGAAAATGATTCTCCAATATAATAGAGAGTAGAGATAATTGATGCTCTAAAATCCATTGGTTGCATACAGAACTGTTAAAGAATCCCATATGAACCAAAATATTATGATTTATACTGACTTATGTAACTGCTGAGTAGCTCTTATTAGCAATATATAATTTTGTTGAAGAATTTCACTCATTGAGCAAATTCAAAACTTCACTTCTCCATATAGTTCAAGTTAATTGGAAAGTTGATGAAACCAACTTATTTTACAAGATAGTATTAGGAAAAAGAGGTAACCAAGGGAGAAATTCTCCCATTCAACTAGTCCTTGGAAGGAAAATGAAACTTCAGCTGTTAGCACCATTTATATCTGTCCTAAGATGACCTCTGCCCCAGATACCTTGAAGTCAGATGGAACGTCCTCCACGTTAACAACCTTAACCTTCCCATCCTCTACATATGCTGACCATCTGCACAAAAACATAACACCATCGTGTATCAGAAAATAAAGGATAACCATTTTGGTTTTAGCCAGGTTTTATTCAGCTATCAAACTGGGATTTCTGTTACAACTCCAAATCTTGTTTGTTTCTAGAGTAAAGTATAAACAAATGCTCAAACCCATTTCCTAAGTATGGATCAATTTAATACCTGTGAGAGCGTGGGCCGAGCAATGCAGCAGAAAGATCCTTGTCTAACTCTAAGCTCTTGTGGAACCTTCCATCGAAGTCTCCATAAAATTCAATCTAAAGAACCAGAACAGACAAGTAATGGCCAGTCACAAACTTGATAATCACTGTGAAAGTAAACATCCTCTCAAAAAAATAATATTTAGTCATATGAAAAGTTGTTCCTTATCCCCTGATACTGGTTCCAGAAATAGATTAGAAATGTCGATACCTGTTCCAATGTCAGAATTAACAAGCAATAGTCTACTCCCCCACAAAAATAACCCAGAAACTAAAGCTTTGTTTCGTATTGGAAACCTTTCTTAGTTTACACTTCTCAAATTCACATATCTTTCAATTATAACACTATACAAGTTAAATAATAATAACTCAGGAAATATTATGTTGTAATTATGCATGTAAAGACTAATACAAGATAAAAATTAAGAATTAGGTGAGGACTGAATAGAAAATGATGGAACATGCTCATGCTTACTAAGCTAACCTTAATTGTTAGGATTATACCGTATTTTCATGGAAGTGTCCTCAAGCCTTACTGTAGAATTTAGGGTTAATTTCCATTCCTACTTTAAAAGGTAAAAACTAGAGAGCATGACTTGAAAATCTATTCCAAAGAATCAAGATGAGATAAGGTCAAACCATGAAAAGTTACAATGCTTTTCTGCCTATCAAATGTGATTGAATTCTGAAGATAGGAATTAAATAGACATAACAAAACAAAACGAATTCTAAATGTTATTCTGCTCTCTCTATACAGCTGAATGATCGAATTTCAGAGACATGATTAATTCAAAATCCAATTATTATTCTAGCTTTAGTGGTTTTTTCTAACAAGAAACTTTAGTTCTTCAAAGAAGCCAAAATGCCTTTATGAACCGAGATAATGGTGAAAAAGAAAAAAGAAAGAAGGCAAAACATTCAGATTAAGATTGATTCTTGTATACACTAAAAGCCAAGAACGATAAACATACAAACCTGTTTGGATTACGCCTCAAACATGCGATAAGGAGAAAGCTAAAAATGAGCTTAATATGGTTCTTCTCCAGCCTAAAAGCAAAGAACCATAAACCTAGAAACCTGTTCGCAGCACTCCTCAAACATACAATAGAATAACCAAAAAGCTAGGAATGAGCTAAAGTTGGTTCTTGTCTAGCCTAAAAGACAAGAACCATAAACCTAGAGAACTATTTAGCGTACTCCTCAATCATGCAACAAAATAACCAAAAAGCTAAAAATTGGTTACTTTTGATTCTTGTCTAGCCTACAAGCCAATAAATATAAACCAAGAGGGCACTACTCTGAAATAGCCAAAAGCTAGAAATGGATTCTATAACTTCAAATTACTTGACAAGAGAAGCTTGAGAATAAAGAAGGAAAAAATATAACAAAGAAGAGCCCATTACAGATTAAAGCTTGTTTGGCTTAAAGGAATAACTTACAGCATCTTTAGCTTGAAGCTTCTCTGCCCATCCATTCAGAACATATGGATCGTTAACAGCCACACAAATCACAGAGTCTATCCCTTTAGCCTTGAACTTATCAATGTTGTTCTTGTAACTAGGCACATGCTGCTGTGAACAAACCCCTGTATATGCACCCTACAGAAATAATTTCTTTTTTGATTCTCCTTCAAACTTAAAATCATTAATCTGAAACAATTATTCAAAAAAATGACAAAAGAAACATAGAAATGAGCTTACAGGGAGTCCAAAGATGACAACTTTCTTGCCCTGACATATCAGTAAAACAAATTCAACAAAAAGATAATAGAAAAGAATATAAAATAAAACATAGTTTTTGTTTTAAAAGATAAGAACCTGGAATATGTCTTTTAATGGTGTAGTAGAGAACTTAGAGGAGACACCCTCATCCCAGCTCCGGGCCTTCTGGAGAGAAACATCGGGTGCGGCCAAAACTATGTCAGTCCCCACTGCGAGCTTGGCGTAGCCCCTTGATGATGCTCCGATTCGAATAACGTCCACCAGTGATCTCAGGGTAGATGAGTTTGATCGCTTAAGAATTGCGGTCGCCATGGTCGAAATCTCTGGTTAGGTGATGCTTAAAGAGGTAAATGGCAGAAATGGAGGACAGTAAAAAAGGGGGATATTATAGGCTTGGGTTTATGGGCCCAATGCAATTTGGGTGGGTCTTTTTACATGTATTCATTGTGAATAGAATAATTTAGTAGAACACCTACATACCAATTCCTAGACTTGGAGAAACCCTTCTCACGAATCGATTTTGGATTTTGAAAAAGCCAGTATACTGGGTTTAATAAACAAAATAGGCATAGCAAATGCTTAATTTCATTTTGATAGGCTCTAATTAATTCTAATCTAATGACAGTTTTATCGTAAGTTAAAAATTACATGACCATTTTCTCATATCACCTTCTAAGTTACACCAATTCAATTTTGAAAATGCTTAGATTACAAACCCTATATTTTTACTAGTTACTCAAAAGGTACCTTAAATCTTAACTTTAAAAGCTCAAAAACCTAAAATTATTAGAACTTATCTTAAACATATAGTCAAACAGACACTATTTAAATTACAAATAGAAATTAAAACAAATCTACGAATAATTTAATTATATTCAATAAAGTTCTAATGCAAAAAATCAATATCTAGAAGAGGAGTTATAGTCCAAGCTTCGAGACATACTCCAATTTCAAGAGATATATAAATATCAACATCTAAAGGAATGATGAACTTGTTGAAATTTTTTAGGCGAAAAAAATTTAAATTTTTATTGACTTCACTCACTTCAAAATTAATAATTTTACGTGTCTTTATTGACTTACATCGAATTCAAATTTACTAAAAATAATATACTATAATTTAAAAGATAAATATTAATCAAATCTTTTAAAAATAAATTGTTAATAACAACATGATATTTAAAAATAAAAATATTATAAATCTAATTAAATATAAATCCTATTTGAATTTAAATTAGTAAATAAAATAAATTATAATTTTTATATTAATTTTCAATACTCTCCCTTAATGTAGAATTATGATTACTAAATTTATTTTGTGGGATTACTTCTTTTCAATATTTCTTATTAATATTCATATTTTGAAATACTTCTCATCAATTATTAATACATTTCTTACCAACATCCGATTATTGATGTAATTCTTATCAATCTTCAATTATTTGATGCACTTTTCATCAAAATTTATTGGAGTACTTCTCTGCAAATCTCATCATTTTCAACTACATCTTACCAATCCTATCATTTTCAACTACATCCTACAAATTAAAAGATTGTAGATATACTTATATTTTCATAAATCATAATTGATAATTTTTCCTGTAAAAATAGAAGGTGAAGCCAAATGAAAAGTGTTTGAAACCATATTTAATGTACCGAACTCACTTGTTTTCACTTTAGATATATATTTTTTCAGACCCATGATAAAAAAAGTTCTAGTAACACTTGTTGAATTTTTTTAGGTAAAGAAAACTTAAATTTTCATTGACTTCACTCAGTCGTTGCGCGTGGCCTTCCCGCGTCAGTGTTTCTGCTACGCGGCGTGTCCTGGTTGGCCGGGCTACTGACGTGGCTGCTAACGTGGCGCAATTTTTTTAAATTACGTTTTGACATTCGGTTTTCGATTTTCTTTTCAACAAAACCCTTATAATCTAAATTTTCACCCTTTTTTTCTAAAATCATTTTCAATTAAATTCAAAAAATAATTTTACCCCTTTTATCATTATTATTATTTTTATCTCTATTTAATTAAATTAAATTAAGTTAAAACTATATAATTATTAATTAATGAATTAATTATTAAGATAAAATAAAATCAAAATAATTCTAATAATAATAAAAAAAAATTTGGGTGTTACATCGACAAGATCACAAATCTTATATATGTCTAAGTAAGCCTCGACCAAGGCTTACATCCCAGCAATAAGGGGATAACACAGCCAATCCTTGGGCATGGCTAACACCAAGGCAGTAAGAGGGAAGCCAAAACTACACTCAACCAAGCCTCGACCAAGGCTTAAGTCACATGCAGTAGTTGATTTGGAAAAATACACGCTTTTGAGATTTAAAAGGAATCCCACAACAACTTGGATCGACAACCAAAAATCAAAATAAAGATGATTTTGGAAAGTAAGCATAATGCCAAAATCATTAGGAAGGATCCCGATCTAAGCAAAAAAGTAAACTCTAATACTTTTAGGCTACGAAAAGGAGACTGAAGACAAAAAATCGGGGTCATCTTCTTCCTCACACAACACATTGCAGACCTGTAATTTTTTGTATTTTTCTTTTTTTTTTTCTCCTTTTTTTCAGTATTCAAGAACTTTGTTTTGTAGTAAATCCACCATGAGAGACTGATAACTTTTCTTTTCGTAAATTACAGATTTAGCAAACTCTAATCTGTATTGTGATATCGAATTAGTTTAATTCTACTTTTATTTAAGTTCAAGTATTTGTTTATTTCTCTGTATATATATTATTGTTGTTCGTTAACCATTTAAACAGGGCACATTAGGTGTACAACACAGTAGCATACAGCTATCCAAGCAGCCCAAATATATAATTGTTTGGGTTGTTCAGGTACCTAGTAGTAATTAGTCCGAACTAAAGTAGTAAGAAATCTGGTTGGCTGGTTCATGTGGTTGAATTCGGTAACCTGAATCAGATTCTTTTGGCTCTCAAGGCCATTGACAAATTAAATTCTACCGACATTTCCAGGATTGTTTAATCAACAAGAATCAGACAAAGAACGTTTCTTAGCTAGTTTATGAATAAGAAAAGATTGGTTGTCAAAATATTTTCGACAGCTAGAACTGGTTTGCTGCACTTTAGTAAAACTAATTACTATATCTATGATCAATACATAATTAGAAATTAGCTACTTCATCTTATTGGGAATACTTGCATATTTGATTAATCTGTATTTGCATCCAAGTGCTTTTCATTTCAATTACTTAAGTAAGAATTTATTTTAAATTTTTTTTTTCCAGCTATTCGACTTGGAGAAGAAAAACTCCCTAATTTATAGTTCTGTCCAAACTGGTTACAAAAGAGAAAAACAATTTTCGGTTCCCTACCACTATTAAAATTTTATGTTATTGCTTAAAATAGAAATTTATTTTTGGTAGATTCAGTATCTATCAGTAATATCTCAATGAGTATAATCAACTTCTAAAAAGAAAAAAAGTTATGCAATGTTTAACTAAAATTACTAACTAAAATTTAGAACAATTTTAGTATTTTTTTTTTTTTTTTGGAATTTGAATTATGAACAAAATGTTATTTTCAAAGTTACTAATGAAATTATCATCTTAATTAAGAGATAAATGGCTTTCAATAGCATAAATATGAAGTTAACATAAGATTTTGACATTGTTATATATTTACCATTATTGTAAATTTGAAAAGGAAATAATTCTTTAGGGACTTCATCAAACCATGGAGAACATGAAAAAAAAAAAAAAAAAAAAAAAAAGGCAGAAATACTTTTTAAATTTTAATTTTCTTTTGCTTTCGCCAGTTACTTCTCACTTATGATGTATTTTAAAATCCCAATCTCCAATGCAGATTGTAAATATTGTTATTACTAGTTTTTTTTATGCATGGATATGAAGTGCACACAATAGTTAGGTTCTTAGATATACACATAAAAAGTATTTTGAATAATCAAAAAATTTAATAAAATGATCGATGAATGATTTAATGTCTGGTCCTTATTCAAATAGGATGAAGTACAACTCTCTCAATTTTTAAAATCCTGAAAAGAATTTGAACATTAAATTTTTTACTTTTTGCGAACTTTTGTGGCCTATATCCTCATTGTAATAGCTTGGCGGGTCCACTAAGGATGTAGACAATTTTTTATTGAAAATAACATATGTAAATTATTTACCTTTTTTTTCCACTAATTTTTCTTTATTTTTGTTGTCTTTTCATTTTTTACTTAAATCTTTTTTTTTTTTTTTTTAAATTATTATGCTTGTTTTCTACTATGTTAGGATCTTATGTAACACCCACAAAAATTTGTTTTAATTAAATAATTAATAAATATAATTTTTGTTTAATTTAATTTATTTTATTTTATTTGGGATAAAAATGAAGTAAAAATTGATGGAGAATTTAATTAAAAATAATTTTGGAAAAAAAAAAGGTGAAAATTTAAGTTATGAGAGTATTTTTTAAAGAAAAATAAAAAAACAGGGGCCAAAATATAATTTTAGAAAGTTTTGCCTCGTCAGACGCCCGGTCGGCAAGCCTAGCGAATCAGGACGAGCTGCGTGGCAGTAGACACTGACGCGGTGCAACGCGGGAGGCCACGCAGGCGATTCGCATGCCCACGATCGAACGACCCAGATCTGTTCCTGCGCGCACGGACTGCCTGGATGCACTCATTCCCAGACACAACCGAACAACTAGATTCAAACGCGATCGGACGGTCCAGAGTGAATCGCGATGGATGGTCCAGATTGGATCACGATGAACGGTTCAGATTCACTCTCTATTTAATCGTGATCGGACAGTTCAGATCAAATGCAATGAATGGTCCAGATTAAAAGCAGATGGATATAAATAACCCCAATTCGCACCAAACCCTAACCCTAGCCGTGAGACCCCACCGTCGGAGAAGACGACCCAGTCGTCGTGGAGCCGACCGCCGCCACCCATCACCGTACCGAAATCCTTTCCGACCGCCAAAAAAGGAAAAAAAACTTTTTCTTTTGCACGAACTTCAATTTTAAGCTCACCCATGACCAAATCGGAGCAAAAAGACCGATCAATTGGCCAGCGAAGCCCGGCGATGCCGCTGCAGGGAATTTCACAAAACACCTCTAATGATGTCCTTTCTGATTCCCGTTTCGCATAATTTTTTCACCGTTGTGATCATCGTTTTCTTCTCTATAGGTTGATAGAAGCAAAACATCCAACTGAAATGTGAGCTAGAGGAGTCGCCGCACCAGAGAGTCCCATCGCCCGTGAGTTTCAATTTTTCAAGCAACTAAAGCCCTTTAACGTATTTTCTTACAGGGATCGATGCAAAATTGGTCAACCCGAGGCAGATCACTGTTGCGGGTGACTGCACCATCGCTGGAG